CTTCTCCATCATTGCTGGATGTAGAGCAGGTAATGTGGTAGCAAACAGTGGTAGTAGTTGCCACAAAGTAATGGTAGGATGAAAAATGTAGAATTCAAATCCTGATAGTTTTCTGATGCAGTATCATATTTCCCCTTGCTCAAAATAGTGGACAAAAGTAAAGAACAAAAGCCTTCACTTTCTACTGGGTGCCAGCCTTGGAAAAATATCAGTCTTCACTTCTCTAACTCCAAAAACATTGTTTCCTATTACATATATAGTGCTTTGGAATATAGTTCTATAATTCAGTCCAGTAGTTTAATGGTTACTAAACCAATAGAGGCACCTATTCACACACTATAAGCTAGAGTCCATGCAAATTGCTGAATTCTAGGAGAGGGACAGCAAAGAACAATAAAGGATGACACTAACCCTTGTAAATCATGTTTAATTTAGATCAGTTTTCCATGAGAGAGAGTTTTGCTGTAAAATAGGCTGAGGGTTGTTGGTGACCTGTGTTGACTTCTATGACAGTTAGACCGTGCTTTGGAATTTACTTCCTTATTTAATAGAAATTAAGCATTAAGGATAATCAGAGCAGTCATGTAACTTGGGTGAGGCAACAAGGTCGCTGACTTCAGGGGAAAAAAAATCTGCCATTGCAGCTATACAATCATGACATAGGTTCAGAAACAACCAGAAGTCACCACTGCCCTTGTGTGATAGCTGCCCTGGGTGCCTGGCCACATTGGTACACCTCTGAATCAGAGCAGAGCATATAAAGTCAGACTGAGATTATTAAATTTGCTTCTCAGTGGGTGGGCCTAATGTATACGGCTGTCCATCAGCCCTATTATTTCTATATATAATTAGAAATCTATAGAGTTGTTTGATAGTCATGGAACCACCACGTCTGCATTTCCCAGCAGCTCTAAAGGTGACTAGAGCGAGTCATTTCCATCTTCTCTTCTGTGTCAGATCTTCAAGCTTTACCCCTTTGTTAAGTCCATGAATTACATTGGATGGTGCCAAGGAAAAGTAGCATGATCTGTGTGTAATACATTCTGTAATGTGCTGAAAAGAGCTACTACAGGAAAGCACTGCTGTAACACAATCTGCTTTTGAAAGAAGGCCAAGCAAGGTTAAGGTTGAATGAAAGGCAAGGCACCAGAATCTTGCTGGTTTAGGATGTTGACATTTAAATTAGCCACCACATATCAAAACCCAAGTATTCACTGTTAGGTTTAGGCGCGGTGATTGCAATGGGGGAAGGGTATACTGTTTTTTCCTTCATCACCTTTATTTTAACCACAATTTTCATTTGTAACTAATTTTGAAGAACTTGCAGTCGAGTTCAAAAGGAAGCTGAGGGTTACAACTTCTTGCAAAACACCATTTGCAGAAATGGCTGTTTCCTTCTGAGTTCTCTAGAATCTAATTAACTTCCCACCTTTCTAGAATTTCATGAACTTTCTCATCATCCCTAATTCAGGTTTTTTGTAGTTTTTTTCTTTGGTTTTTTTTTTTTTTTTGGTGTCAATGCAGCAAGACTGCTGGAAGCAAAGTCAGCCCTTCACTCCATTTCTTATTGGTCAAGTGATGCACTCAAGCCCTAACAGCAGGTCTTTTGCCTTCATATGTGTCTTTGCTATTACTCAGGTTCACTCACTGGTCACCTTCATGGGTGATCTCATTTCAACCTCCACACTTCATTTCCTGCTCAGCTCATGCTGACATGATATTAGTCAAATAATCCTTTGAACCATTACGTGTTTGTCACTTTACATCTTTTCTTGTATTTGCGGTGAATGAATTGTGTAGTTCCTATTTCCTTCTACACAATGACTTATTCTGTCCACAGAGGGGCATCTGCCCTTTCCCTCATGCTTCCTGTACTCCTGCCCAGTATGTTTTTCTTTGCATTGACTCCCTCACCTGTCACTCACAGCCGCCCTAGAATTTCTCTTTCAGTCTTTTCCCTGCAGACAAAAATCTCAGTGTCTTATCATCTTAAGTAGCTCTTTTGAGAGAAGTGCTTTTCCTTCTGAGTATCTCCTTTTACAACCTTCATGTCATTTGAGAGGTGAATCTTCAGGAGATAGCCTGTTTTGTTTGCTGTTTTTATTTGCCTTATAAATATCCCATATGTGATCCCATTGCATCTATCCTGTCAAAATACTCCCACTGTGCAATGAAGATCTCTCTCATCTCTCTCCCCAAGGCCTCTTATTTGAAAGGGGTATGGAATGTACAGCAATTAGCCACTGGGCATCTGTCTGTTTTTCAGAGTTGTACCTTGCTCCTTTAAACTTACATCTGGCTTGTATACAGTTGTTAAAGCTAAGCAAGGAACCACTAAGGCTGAAACATTTAATGATTTATATTAAATAACTTAAGTAAAGTACTACTTTTAGATCAATTTATATTTACACATGCAAATGAATGCTTAATATGCTAATATCGCAAAGGTGGCACTTCCTGTGCCAAGTGTGGGTTGCTTACAGGGTTTTTTTAAGCTGCTTATTTACAGTTAGCTCATGAATATAGGTGAGAGATTACTTATGTAATTGCCTTCACAATCTGGTCCTTTGTGAATAAGCTCTTGGACTGATAGTTACATATTTGTAAAAACTTAGAATATTTTGACACGACATTTCTGCCAATCATCACTGGAAGCACTTGTATTCACCAACCACAGTCCTTCTAGCACAGGCAAGATATGGCATATCTGATTTAAAAACCACAGCACTGAGATTACAGACTGAGTTTTAGTTTCCACTTCACTTCTGGTAGGAGTTTAGTAGTCTTTTTTATGAACTGATAGAGCTGGAGACTGATGTTTGAGGTCACTTGAAATTCAGGGTTCCAAACACAAGGTCACTGATTTCTGGTGCAAACAGTTCTTGATATAGAAGTGACCAAAATCATGTTAGAACTCACGTGGAAAAGTAATGCAAGCTAGATGAGAGGAATGAGAATGATTTCAATTTAAGGTCCAATATCTCAACACCCCTAGACAATAGGGCTAGACAATATGTTTATAATGTTTGTAAATCATTACAAATTATTTTTCCAGCTTTGTTGATTTTCAAGTTAGGGATTTCATAATGTAAGTGGGCCCTAAGTTTAGAACAGAACTTATGAAAGACCTCAAACTAGTCCAGCTTTTCTGTCCCTGTCCTGTAACACCACTGAAAACATATTAAATACAGTCAGGTAGTACATGATCAGTAAATTATTCTGTTCAGTACCCCAATCTCAGGGTGCCTATACACAAGCATGGAGGCTGCTCCAATGTGCTGGAATTCCAGCACATCAGAGCAGACTAGATTAACTGAGTCTGCTGGAGCATGGCACTTGCCACGCTCCAGCAGCCTCCTGCATCTCATGCATCAGTGTCCCCATGCTTAAAAATGGTGGTGGGGTATTTTATTTTGGTTCAAGTGTCCCAGCCGCCATTTTAAAGTTTATGGATGATGATACAGGAGATGCAGCAGTGCTTTAATTAGAGCAGCTCTGAGAGTCATTCTAATTAAAGTTCTGCCCTTCCCCCCCACCCCCACTTCTGGAGCAGATGTAAAAGTGCCTTCAAAGGCTAAGTGCAGACAGTCAAAAAGCCCAAGGCTGAAATGATTCAATCTTTGCAAGTTAGGCCAGAAGGCCTTTGACACAGTCTCCCACCCAATTCTGGTGGGCAAGCTGAGGGACTGCGGCATTGACGAATGCACAGTCACATGGGTGGCAAACTGGCTTCAGGGGCGCACTCAGAGGGTGGTGGTGGACGGGTCAATGTC